CACCGCGCATTCTCCATTCGTTTGCACTGCACTTTCTGGTTCACAGTGACGTCACACTTCGGTATTCCATTCCTGGCCAACATGTACACATACTGTACAGTAAGTCAAGGGAACGATATTTCTAGATGCAAAGCACAATTCATATTTGAACATGCAATACATGTACGGGTATCTAGATACAATGTATGCATGCTGGTTCAATAGAGGAACTGTACCAGAACCAAGACACAAGTAATTGGCAACCCAGAGTTCAGAAAAACCTCTTCAATGGCTTTCAACCAGAGATCTTTTAGCGCTGCATAGCGGTGCAAGATGGGGGGACTCTGCCAAAGAGGTGTTTATCACCATGGGTGCCGTTCAAGCAAGCAATACGCCTGCACAGTGGATGTTAATGCACAGGTACACACATCCTTACCCAGCTATACTTGTGGGGTATTTCCTTTGTTCTTGTGTTCAAAACTCCCACAAAACTCGCAAAAAAATCAAATCACTCCAATTTAAACCAAATTCACTTTCCTGGGATGAAAGTTTGACCGTATGTCCCTTATATAAAACACTTCAATTTGTGACAGATTTTTACCCATCAAAAATTTCCCTTTTTTGAGTTATTTCCAAATATCAGTTTCGTGAAATTCTTGTGGTATTTTGGTACCACACAAGGTAAAAACTGGCCTTGTGGGGTACTTCAAATTGTTCCGCTACCCCACAAGGCCCAATGTATAAGCGCACGTGCGCACAAACGTACCAGGCGTGTGTGCCTGGCCCGACGCCTGCATCTGTGCACTAATGTCCACTTCACAGGTGGATTGCTTGATGTAAGGGCGCCCAGGCGATTACAACATTTTACATGTACATGTAATCACAGTGAGGTTCTCCATCTTGCGCCGCTACGTAGCGTTATATGATCTTTGCTTTCAACCGATTCAAATTGAACATTAAAATGGGCATTCAGAAAAAAGCTTTCACTAAAAGGTAAAACAATTACAGTTTTCCACAACTTGAAATGAGAGTATATTCTTGCAACAAAAAATCCTGTCTACTTCCCCACAGGTTTGAAAGTCAACCAAACAATGGCAACTGGAGGCACAACTGAGGTTCTGCAGGAGATCAGTGAGCGTTATCTACAATGCTCCATCTGCCTCAACTGTTTCACTGAACCAAAAGCATTGAACTGTCTTCACAGTTTCTGCCTGGAATGTCTCAAATATCTCATAGAAAACCCAGATACGGAAACAGCAAAGATCACATGTCCCCTGTGCAGACGTGAAACAACATTGGGAAGAAATGAGGTTGAAGATCTGTCAACCAACTTCACACTGAGTGCCCTGGTGGAGGAGTTTGCCATGCATGAACAGCTTCAACAGGGTCAAGGGTCAGAGATCAAATGTCAAAGCTGTGATGACACAAATCAAGCAACTTCATTTTGCATGAACTGTGCTCACTTTCTTTGCAAAGATTGCCAAAAGGTACATGAACGTCTGCCAGTAACAAAATCTCACCAAACCTACACACTGTCTCAGCTTCAATCAGGAGAGATTGCCTACAAGAGCAAACTAAGAGAAGAACCAAAATGTGAACAACATCCGGATCAGAATATTAACATTTATTGCAACACATGTCAGCAGTTGGTATGCACAACTTGTTTTGTTCTGAAACATCAAAAACACTCTTGCTCTGATATATCTCACGCCTTTAAAAAATGCAATCAAAAAATTGCAGAACTGATGGCAAAGGCCGAAGATAAGAGAGAAGAACTGAACAATGCCAAAACAAACATAGCTGAGTCTCGTAAGAAATTAGACAACTTGTTTGATGAAACCAACAAGAAGATCTCCCAAAAGGCTGACAAGGAGGTTGCTAGGATCAGAGAGATGGAGCAGAAACTGAAGCAAGAGGCCCAGGAGATCTACCAAGACAGAGTCAAGACATTGACGACTGCAGATGACATCAACAATACACAGCTGAGGGTAGTAGAGCTAGAACTGGCTGAGATAAACAATCTCCAGGCTGAAGAAATCAAGACGGAAATTTTAAAATTGAAGCCCAAACTCTTGCACAACCTCCAAGAAATAACAAGGAGAGAAAGGCCACAAACTGTGCCAGAGAATTTGCACTCCTTTGACTTTCATGAGAGCAATGAAACTGTGAAGTCACTCGGAAGGCTGATCTTGAAAGATAAGTTTAAACTGGAGAGACAAATGAAACGGGACGAGACACAAATTACTTCTGTTGCAGTTTTCTCAGATAACGAAATAGTCACAGTGGAGAGTAAACTCGGGTATCTCAAATGCAAACAGCTGGTATCTTATTTACCAACAAACAATTCCACATCTTCTTTCATCTCCAAAATGCTACAAATTCAAGATATCGCAAATCCCATCAAAATTGCAGTGAATAGACTCGATCACCTCATTGTCCTAGATGGTTCTCCAGTCAACATGGTCAAGACCTTCAGCAGAGAATATCAACTCCTCCATCGGTTCCAGCTAGCTGTAGAAAGCATTAGTTACATACCAGTAGGACCAACCTGCCTGGCAGTGGATGATGACAATCTGATAGCTGTGGGCTACATGGCCAAGGGAGAGATCAGCCTCCACAACCCAGATGGAACCCTCATCAGGAGACTACCAGCACCAATGACTGAAGATCAACTGGTCATGAGCAACAAGCAGATCATATACTGGAGCACTGACCACAGCACTTGTATACTGGTATCTACAGATTACCATGGTAACACAGTATTTGAAGTGGACAATTCCAATCCCAGGAGTGTCTGCTGTGATATGCAAGGCAACATCTACATGTACATATCATCTGATTATAAAAAATCAACCTGGCAGGGGAGGCTTCTCAGGTGGGGTAGAAGAAATATCCATCAGTATAATGCAGAAGGCAAGTACACCAGAGGCATAATCAAGGAAGATATGGATGTCACTGCAATGACATGCACGACTAGAGGGGATCTGTTGCTGGGTGGGACTTCCCTGAAACTCTACTGTCGTGTCTGAAAACTGAAACTTTAGGCCAGATTGGAAGTGACAAAGAAAACAAGTAATTTTGTGCGTTAGGATAATACTCCAAGCAAGTGGTATGAGGAAATGCCCATTGGATAATCTCAGTTGTTTTACAAGTAATTCCATTCATCAACGTCAAACAGCATGTGTGTACAAACAGATTACTGGGAAATTACATTTTTGTCATTTTAGCATTATATCAAATAACAGTTCTGCAGCATGTACATGTACATATACTTGAAAATCATAAGAAAACATGCTGTTGAAAATTTCAAACAACTGAATCCAATCCAAGACATTTCCCAATAATTCGTTCTGCAATGTTTTTATCAATTTATATCACAAAATTTTGGAAAGTCTATTCAGCCAAGATTTGGCGAGTCCCAAAAATTGTTCTCTTCTGTAAAATTGAGAGAGTTGCAATGGACTATTCCTGAACCGTGTACATGTAGTTTGTCAAACCAACTAGAGAAAAGGCAGGCTTGAACAGAACTTGTAAAAACAGAACTTGACAAATTGACACACAAATGTAGCAGTGCTTGTTCACTGTGAAGAGAAAACAACCGAATTCAACTAAGACAAGTAAAAACTAACCAGGAAAACTGGGGATTTTTTACTGACTGTTGTAAAATCCAAACTCATATAGGGAAACTGACTAGGTGCTTACATTAAATGATTAACTCTTAAGCTCTGTATTTTAATATGAACCACTCTCATTTGACAGTCAGAGATATCTATGTACATGGAGGGGTTGAAGGCTAACATATAAACTGAGTTGAAAGATTTCATTTTTAGATTTATGAAACCAAAAAGGACTTTTGAGTGTATTTCAAAGCAAACAGTGGATAACATAATTAGTTGGTGACATTTCATAAACTGTAGGGAACATTTAAATGATTGTTTGTATATGGCTAAAATATTATCAAAATGTTGAAATGGTACTGAGTAATGAAATTTAGCCTGAATATTGGATGGATCTGGGTGTGAACAGATTTGAAAATTGTAAATGAGGTTTGAAACTTGTAAGTGAACTAATGGATTTCAGCTGAAAAGAGTGCAAATTTCCTGAACAAAATGTTATAAAGATCTTGAAATAATGAATGAGCACTTTCAACAACTTTTTAAAAGTAGCTTAGACCTAAAACTGGTAAACTGTTATGTGTATAACAAGAAATTTAGTTAGAGCTTGAAAAAGCAGAAGGCTTGTATAAATGACTGGAATTTATAATCTTGTTTTGTACTAATTATCTTTAATCACATCATTTAGAAGGTACTAGTTACAAAATTCAGGCTAACCTAAAAGGTTCTCGTAATCTCACTAGCATATTAGATCAGTGTCACCTTTCCTTGCTCAATGACTAGTCAGCCATAAACCTGTCAGCATCTCGTTCAAACACCATCAGAAGAGCAGTTTCTAGCAATGTCGCAAGCTTTAAAATAGCCCAACTGCATACTGAGGCATGACATCAGGAACTAAAAAAAACACACTTCATTATGTACATTTGTGTCAGTCTGAAGTTCAAATCAAGTACATGTACTCAAACCTGCACCACCAAAGGTCTAAGTTTACCTAAGTTTACAGGCAAAAAGAGTGTTTTCTCTGTAAAATTCTAGACTTTCTGACTACAAGCATTACAATTAGGCCTACACAATTACATGTGGGCAGAAAGTGACACAAGAAATGTTTATTTATAAACAAGCTGCTTAAACTGGGCTTGAAATCTGTGAATGCGTCGCAACCTTTCACAACTAATTGTTACGGGACATTTCAGTTATATTCCAATGCTTGTACATGGCTTTCATTTACACATATACCTGTGCAGCATGTAGCTTTAATTACATGTTCATGTAAAACATGTCTTGTTATTTGAGAACATTGAGTTCTGTGTGGGGTGGATCTCAATAACAAAGAGGAGGGGGAATTGTGACGAAATGGGAAAATTGATTCAAAGATTCTTAGGCACCCATGCATGTGAAAAAGGATGTGATTTCCTGACCGAAAGAGTCTGGAATTCATTTGGATGAAAAATGAGGCAAGTCAATACCAAGATGTTAAATAATAAATGGAGCTCTTTTTGTCAAAAGCTTCCGCATAGAAGATTGCTCGTACATGTACTGTGTGTATGGTATGGCGAGCACACATGTACAGATAGAAAAAATAACTTGGTGTTTAAATTTTATTCCTTAATTCCAATGTGCAGGTTAGCTGAGCTAAGATTGTGTACTCTACAAGTAAATAATTGATATGCTATGACAAATGCATCTTTGTTCACTTGGGTAACGTTTGTCATTCTACTTTTGTGACCTGACGGTTTTCATAACAAATCATTTCCATACTGATCTGTTAGAGTTTCACTTTCAAGTGTACCCTTGTTAGTTAAAACCCAATGAGTCGGTGTGACACATGTATTCCAACAGCGCATGCTTGACATGAAGTAAGTCCAAGGTCATTTAGATGCCCATGATATCTGCTCTGTCAGCACAGCCCTACCTAAGTAGACTCACATGCACGCTTTGTTCCCAACTGATATTGCTTTCTTTGAAATATTGAACTGGCTCATTGGTCTCAAACTTGTCTCTTGTTCAAGAATCATTCAAGTGAAATTGATAGCAGCATTAAAAATTTGAGGAAAGAAGCTGTTTTCTGTTGCCTTAATTTCCTGCTTCCTGTACCAGCCTTTAGGAGCTGGGTAGCTAATACACAGTTTGGACAAACTTGCGGTACAACAGACACTTAAAAAGTCTGCACATTACTGAAAACTTGGTTTAAATCTTGACCCCAAAACAATCAAACAGACTGACATTCAGAAGTAAAAAACTGAGACAAAAAACCCTTAAGCCTAAACAAATGAATCTGTCAGTCTCTGTGTCAGTTCAAATACTAGGATTGACGCTGTCATTTGGCTTTGTGTAATTTTAGCAGCTACCAGAACCTTTCAACCTTTTATTCTACTTTGTTAATGCAGGAATCAACATTTTATTCTCCTCAGTTGCTG